CTAACTCCATGTCGAATGGTCTATAATTGTGACCTGCAGAGCAACAGTAAAATCACGATTATTTCTTGTTTTTGGTCCATTTCAACCTCTAAATATTTTGCGATCATTTGAATATCAATAGGCTTCTATTCTGACCCTAATCCCTCTATTTCAATTTATTTTCAATTTCGTGAGGATCGGGCTATAATTGCGACAGACGGGCGGACATGTATAGCTAAATCGACTCTGTTCGGCGAGATAGGAAGATCCATATATAGCTTCCTATGTCGGGGACCAATATTTCGAGATGTTCCATTATTTTTGGCCAATCAAACTTATAATTTGTTTTCTTAAAAGTCAAAGTTGCTCAATTTTGCTGGGAGAAATTTCTCCAATAAGATCTATCAACCTAAATCAACTGTAGTTCTCAAATTTTGGTATTTTTCATTGTACTGACAATATTTAATCCACCAAATATTTGCCTTATTAAATAATTACATACAAGATGCATGTATTTGCAGGAACGACCGATTTTCTGCACATTCGATTTGCTCGAAAGATAACCAAACAAACAAAAACCGGCTTTAAATTCGACTGGACCGAACCAATTCATTCGCATTTTGAATAACCTTGAAATTTCTCAAGAGACAACAACGTAAATGAAAACCGTTATATGGTGGCAATACGAAGACGTGAACCCATAAAAACAATTCTCAGAAGGTACTTCAGGTATGAATTTTCAGACAATTCCATTGACAAAATTGGCTACAATCATGAAATTATCTAATACAGTGGAGAGAGGATATGGGAGATATACGATATCGTGGACCAAAATAGTGATGTGTGCAAAAATTAGCTTCCTATCTTAATTCGTTTTGACTCTAGAGTGATTACAACAGACGGACAGTGCTAAATCGTCTTAGAATTTTACGCTGATCAATAGTATATATACTTTGTTGTGTCTGAAATTATTATTTCGATTAGTAACAAATGATGTCGAACTTAATAGACCCTTGATACTATGTATGGTGGTGGGTATAATAATTTTATATTATAGTACCTGGTAATACCTCAGCCTCAGTATTGAGGGTATATTAAGTTTGTCATTCCGTTTGTAACACCTCGAAATATACACTTTAGATCCCACAATATACGTTGCATTCTTGATCAGCATAAAAATATATGTCCGTCTGCCCGTCTGTGGAAATCACTCTAGTTTCCGAACGAAATGAAGTAGGTTGATAATATTTTACTCAAATGTATATTATATCTGCAGGACTTTTGGTATTGAAATTGCGGCATGTTGGTCCACGTTTTGGTATAGCCCCCATATAATGGTACCTCCCTTTATTCGGTATTTTGATGATATTAGCGATGTTCTTCACTAGAACTGTTTCGAATTTCGTATTTAAAGTTCGGAATCGTTACTACAGCCTATGACAAAAAATTACTTATGCAGCACCACGTCTTCGCATAGTTTCCATACAAAGGTTTTTCATTTAAGCGGATTTTTTTTTGGAAAAATTCAAGTTCCTTCCGAATGGTGGAGGGTATAAAAAGTTCGGTCCGGCCGAACTTAGTTGCTTTTTTACTTGTTATTCCTTAGAAAGTACCAGTAGTGATAAAAACTCTCTCTACGTAAAATGTCCCATGATTCTCTGATTTGATGCTTCGAACGATTGACCTAGGTGACGAAGTTTTTCGACCATTCGTACGCCTACGACCCGTATGCACACAATTAGCGTTCTATCCCTTTGATTCACTCACACAGTCATTAATTAATCATTAATATTTCCTTCTAATACAGGGTTGCCCAAAAAAATCGAACTAGTGTGAATTTCTTATAACTTTTTATTTAAGATATATTTTTTTAATTTTCTGTTTTTTTTTTAATACAGGGAATATTTTTAGGAAATAATTTTATATTATATATTATATTCCGCAAGTGTTGGCCATTTTCTGCTTCACACAAATGTGCTCTTTTTAACATATATTCCATTACCTTTCGCAAAACTTCCGGTGATATGTTGTTAATGGTTTTTAATTCCTCGGTAGTTCTAGGCTTATTAACATAAACTTTTCCTTTGAAATAACCCCAAAATAAATCTAGGGAAATCGGAGGCCATTAAAAATTGCTTCTACCCGAAATAATTTTTTCAACAAAAATGTAACGTAAAAGAGGCATTGTGGCCCTCGAGGTGGCTCCATCCTGTTGGAACCAGCCTTACAAAAAAAAAAAAAGAAATACCACACCATATTTCCCGATGGTTTTTCACGCCTGGCCGTTTTCCGTTCATTTTCGAAAAAAATATGGGCCAATGATCCTTTATGATGAAACACCGCTCCAAACAGTACGCCTAATTGGGTGTAATTTTTGTCGATGAAGTACTCTCGGGCTTTCCATAGACCATATCCTACAGTTTTCGCTTTATAGCGAACCCATTTAATTGGAAATGGGCTTCATCATAACTAAGTTATAAATAAAATTAGGATTTTCTTATGCTTTTTGTTGGAACTAAATTGCATATTCGTTGCAATTCTTTGAAAAGTTGAATTTTGTATGGAAACATTTCGCTGCAGTGATCCTCTTGAGCGGCCAAGTTGTGTCGATGTCTCTGCAACCCACACATTGAATTGACGACGATATGCACGCTAAGTAAACAAAATGGACCGTTGATTTGAAGAGGGCATTCCAACGGTTTAGGCACGTTGTTCAGTTGTTTTGTTGCTCCATTTTTAATTGTCCAAGTCTTCTTTATAAAATACTGAAAAGAAAAAAAAAAAGAAACAAATTATAATAGGCAAGTTATAAGAAATTCACAGCAATTCGGTATTTCTGGGCCACACTGTGGTAATATTTGCCTGATCTAATTCCTATGGGATTAACATCGATAAATGGACCTATGTAAAAATTTGTTGAAAGTAAAAACTAATAGTCTTATATAAATAAAACAAACCACGAACCCAAAATTTAATATAACTTCACACTTTCTAATATTTGCTTCAACTTTGACAAGACATTTATTTAGAAAGTGTTAGCTCACTCGATTTTTATACCCTCTTCCATACACAGTATGGAATGTATATTAAGTTCGTAATTCTGTTTGTAACTCATCGAAATAATAACTTTAGACCTAACAAAGTATACTTATTTTTGATCAGCGCAAAATTCTAATACTATTTAGCCCTGTCAGTCTGTCTGTCCGTCTTTTGTAATCACGCTAGTGTCAAAGGTATTCAAAATCCGGCCGAACTTACTGCGTTTTTAATTGTTTTTTTTTTTTTAAATTCGCATATTCCAGTTTTTTTAATATTAGATTTATTTTAAAGTTTAAAGCTACAGAGGCGTATATAACATTTGATACGGCCAAAATGTGGTTCATCAATATTAAGGTTTTAGATCTTACGTCCCTTTCGAAATGCGAACTACAGTGTGAGATAAAAAACTGCGACAAAGTCAAACTCCATAATTTTTTTACATTTTCTTAATTTAATTTAATGAAAGCAAAAAATGTCGGAAATGGCATCAAATCTTAGAATAGGTTTAGATTTGTTCGAATTGGTCACCTTTGGCACTAATTATGGCCTTCAAACGGCCTATGAAACCGTCACACGCTGCCCGAATGTTGCTCTGCGGTATTTTGGCCCATTTCCGGCAAAGCGTTTGCTTGAGGTGATCGACACTTTGGTATTTTTTAGTGCCAACCTTGCTTTCCAATATACTCCAGACACAATAGTCCAACGGATTGGTATCTCGAGATTTTGGTGGCCATTGTACGCTGGAAATGAAGCGAGGAACCTCATTTTGTAACCATTTTTTGGGTGGCGCGTGCTGAGTGCGATGGTCCGCTGAATCCTGTTGGAATGTCCAAGGTCTGCGGCCAAAATGTTTGCGTTTTTCGCCATAGTTTCGCCATAATATTTGGAATTTATTCTGATGCTACGGTCGATTAATACGAGCGAAGAACGACCACTAGCTGTTATGGCGGTCCACACCATCACCATGGCCGGTGCTTGAGTTCTGGTGTCCAACCGAAGGTGGTGCACATTTTCAGCTGAACTCTTTGGCAAGTAAACACGATCATTTTGTTTGTTTGCTGGACAACGAATGTTTTCTCATCGGAGAGAACCAAATTCGGTAGTTCACCACTTTCGGCCAAGCGCAGCAACTCTTTATCTCTTTTAAGTCTATTTTCTTTTCGTTGCAGTGTAAGTTCTTGCACTTTTTGGAATTTCAATGGCTGTACCCCGAGCTCATTTTTCAATACTTGCCGAAAATTACGATATATTCAGCTCACGAGCCATTTTTCGGCCACTGCGAGGCGGGTTTCAATCGAGTCGCTTCTTTAATTTTCGAATCATTTCTGCTGATGTTGCTGTTTTCTTCCGTTCACTTCCTTGACGTCGGGCTACGCTACCAGTATCACAGTAACGATCGATTCTACGAAACACAAAATATTTATTCACATTTAAATGCTGCAGTGCTCTAACGATAGCCACTTGTGGTTTTCCAGCCAAATATTAAGAAATCACACTATCACGCTTGAATTCCATCACGAACAACTTCTTTTACTGGAAAACTCGCCAAAATGCTTCTGTACGTTTGTAAATAATATAATGAGTCACTGGAATAATTTTAACAACTGTGGGACGAGTGGCTTAGAAATGACCGCAGTCTGAAATTGTTTGCAGTTTTTTCATCTCATCCTGTATTGGTATAGGGATCACTCTGAGAATTTTTTTTTAAAGGTGAACTATGTAGACCCCTCTTTCGGCCCATCTCGATAAATATCATATAACGATCATCAGCGGAAAGAAGCCATATATCTTGTTAAATATTGGTTTAAGAAACAGACATTAGCCTAAACTTCGATTTTTCGAATATGCACAAGCCGAAGCACCAGCCAATTTTTACCAATATCAACTAAATAAAAATGCGACACATTAAAATGTTATTATATAATATTTATATATTCTCTCTCAACAAGTTTTAATAAATCTCTTTTCTCTTCTCGTTACAGTTTCAGCATTAGTTAAACCGCACAAAAATGGTTATAGGTAATCAAGATACGGGGGGCACAAATAGTGTGCCCCATCCTTCGGGAATTCCACAAGATAAAATCGACAATATAATGAGTGGCATTGCCAATACTGGCGATGTCAAAATGAATAATCACAGAAAAAAGTTGAGACAGAGGTAAGTAAATCCCACACCTACAATTTTGACATTAAAAGACAATCTAATTTTTATCCGCATTTTCAGATTCGATATAATTAAGAAATTAGGTCAGGGTACCTATGGCAAGGTGCAATTGGGTATTAACAAAGAGACTGGACAAGAGGTTGCTATTAAGACCATTAAGAAATGTAAAATAGAAGCTGAATCGGATTTAGTGAGAATACGAAGAGAGGTACAGATTATGAGCTCTGTACAGCATCCAAATATAATACATATTTATGAAGGTGAGTTTGTCGCATAGCCCCCGTGAATAATTTGGGTTAAACTAAAATATTTGTATTTTTCTCGTTTTGGTATTTTTTTAGTATTTGAAAATCGTGAAAAAATGGTTCTGGTTATGGAATTCGCCGCTGGCGGTGAACTTTATGATTATTTGTCGGAACGCAAGGTGCTAAGCGAAGAAGAGGCCCGACGAATATTTCGCCAAGTGGCCACTGCTGTTTACTACTGTCACAAGCATAAAATTTGCCATCGAGATTTGAAATTAGAAAATATTTTATTAGATGAACATGGTAATGCAAAGGTGAGTGCCATACCATAACCTCTTTTCCCTCTTGCTTTCTTTAAACAATTGATTAAATTGTTATTCAATTTATTTTGCAGATTGCCGATTTTGGTCTGTCAAATGTCTTTGACGACCAACGCTTACTGGCCACATTTTGTGGCTCACCTCTCTACGCTTCGCCAGAAATTGTCGAAGGTACACCCTATCATGGCCCCGAGGTGGATTGCTGGTCCCTGGGTGTACTGCTCTATACTCTAGTCTATGGTTCGATGCCATTCGATGGTTCCAATTTTAAAAGACTTGTCAAACAAATTAGCCAAGGCGATTACTATGAACCAAAGAAGCCTTCGCGTGCCTCTTCACTGATACGTGAAATGTTAACTGTGTGTCCCCGCAAACGTGCCAACATTGAACAGATCTGCTCCCATTGGTGGGTAAATGAAAATGACAATGTGTCGTGTTTAGAACTGGCCGAGGATTTGGCCAACCAGACTCCGGTACGTTTAGATGTTTTGCTGTCGTTAACACCGGCAGCTGTGACGGCGGAACAATTGGTTGTGCCCTCAGCAGCTGATGCTGCGGCAGCTGTCAAAGGTGGTGCCATACCACGTAGTCATTCTGTGGGTTCAATACGTGAAATTGGACCACCTACAACTACTACTGAAGCGGAGCGTAGAATATTGGATATGGTAGCTGGTAAGTTGTCGGAAAGATTTAACATGGGATGTTTATGGTGTTGTTGTTGTTCCGTTCCCATGTCATTTTTAGATGTCAAAGAGATGCAGGTTATTAAAAACAAGCGTTAGAACCCTTCATTTTCTGTACAGAAATAAGGTTTCCTTAGATCTATAGAATACAGATCTTCAGATCTTTTACAAATAACAAATTTTTTAAAGATATGTGATCTTTCTCAGATCTTTTACCCAGCTTCTTTGAAAGGTGGAATATATTGGTGGTGGATATTTTCTAATGATATCAGACAAACAGCTAATGTGAAGAATCTTTTATTTTTATAAAAACATTCTCTCCATCCTTAGATAAAAATTAATTAGCTTTCATTTTATAGAGAAAAATGTTCATTAGATCTTCGGTATTCAAAAGGCCGTTTAGAGACGCATTAAAATTTATCTATTTTTGGAAGTCAGGTTAGGTCAAGTCAGCCAGGTCTTTCATTTATTAAAGACCGCGTAACAGTTTTTAAGGTCTCTGGACGGTTTGTTTATGGAAGATGTCGACATTGTATTCTGTCTTTAAAAGTTTTCTAATTGTAGAGGACCTCGGAAAGTTGTCGCAATCATAAAATCCTCTGGCATATCTTCTGTGAATTGAGGTCCTTTAATTCGTTTATTAAAGAATATTTTAGGAGGCTTTTTTATTGAAAGTACTCTGGAATTTTCTGTTGAATACCTCTTTTAAGGTCTTCTACTTCTCTAAAAAACTTTCTGCTAATAGAAGATTTCCGGAACACCTTCTTTCAATGAAACAATTCTAAGGACCTTTTATCCTCTGAATTGTTTTGAGTGTTCGATTTGTGAAAGGCCTTGGGAAGTTGTGCCAATCATAGAACATCTTCCAGGATGTCCTCTGTGAAACTAGGACCCCAGGATGTTTTCTTTTCTTTTACGGTTTATGCCTTAGAAGCCTTAATAATGATTCTTTAGAATTATTTAAGGCCTCTGGAAGTTATCTGTATATGAAGCCTATAGAAAATGTCTTCACTTCTTCATAAAATTTTCTGCCAAAAGAAGACTTTTGGAAAACCTTCTTTCCATAGAAAATTTTTAAATGGTCTGGTACCCAATTGTTCCAATCACAAACCCCTTCCAGGATGTTTTCTGTAAAACTAGGACACTCAAGTCTCCTTTATAAAGAATGGCTATTTTTAGAGGGCTTCTTGTATGGAAGTTCTCTTGAGGATATTCTATGAAACCTATATAAGTTATCTGTAGAATACTTCTAAGAAAATGTCTGTCTCTTCTTTAACAAGTTTTCTCGGAATAGAAGACCTCTCGAAAGCCTTCGTTACATAGACAAATTCTTGAGGGTTTCCATCCACAGTGCATATTTGAAAAGTGTTCTGTGTGTGAAAGATCCATAGAAAATTTCCAGAAGATTTTTATCCTGAAACCCCCTCCAAGATCTTCTGGACTGCCCAACTCTTATTTTTTTAGCATACCTTTGGGAATTTCTTTCATGAGAACCCTCTGAAAGATGGTCTATACATTTAGCGCCTCAACAGCGTTTCTTTAGGACTCTAGAAAATATGCTTTGGATAGAAGCCTCTACAGCACTCTTTAAAATACCTCTATGAGAATATCTGGAAGACTCTTGAGGATATTCTATGAAACCTATATAAGTTATCTGTAGAATAACTCTAAGAAATTGTCTGTCCCTTCTTTAAAAAGTTTGTTCGCAATAGAAGACGCCTCAAAAGTCTTTTTCTGTGTGTGAAAAATCCATAGACAATTTCCAGAGGATTTCCAACCTGAAACCCCAACTCTTATTTTTTAAGCATATCTTTGGGAATTTCTTTAATGGGGACCCTCTTAAAAATATTCTATGGATTTAGCGCCTCTACAGCGTTTCTTAGGACTCTAGAAAATATTCTTTGGATAGAAGCCTCTACAGCACTCTCTAATATACCTCTATGAAAATATCTGGAAGATCTTTTAACTGACCAGAAAATATAAATACTAATTCTGCAACATCTGAAAATGACATGGGGCATTTGTATTTCCACCCCTTTCCTTATTGTAAATTATCTCTCTATATTTGTTGTTATTATTGTCATACAAACCCATACATACATAATGTACTTCAAATTGACTATTTCTCTAAATTTGGTTTTGATGTTATTTTTTGTGTTTCTAATTCCACACCACCCAACAAAATTAAAAAAAAAAAAAAACACCAAACCCCCAAAACGCCTCGTAAACTCAACGTACTTTCCTTGATTATCCTCTCCTTGTTTCATTTCCTTACCGGCCCCCCTCCCCCACACACACTCTCTGTATAACTACGTTATTAATTATTCTACTTGTATCTTATCCAACCACCCAAAAAAAAAACATTTAAGTGAACTAAACTCACGATAATCCTACATTTTAACATAACTCATTTGACCCCCCGTTTTATTTTGCCCACTCTTTTAGCCGGTGGTGAGGCAGCGCTTATGCCATCTCCTACACGTACCATTACACCTGCACAAAGTCCTATACAGACAAAACGTAAACTTGAAAATACCGTTTCGACAGAAAATGCCACCGGTGTGGCCCTAAAGAAAAAGGAAAAGCCGGGCAGCACCCACACTCTGGGCGGTGCGGCTGGTGACCAGACAACGACAACGTCCACCATTGTCGAAGAAGAACCTACACCAATGGAAACAGAGGAAAGTGCCGAACCAACATCAACCGAACCATTACCGCCATCAGCGGCTGGCGACGTTAAAACCAATGCCACACGCAATTTCTCCGTGAAGGACATACAAGCGGTCGGTGACATATGTGAACAGTTGATACAACAAGAACCAGCAGCACCAGCCACCTCCACCATACCAGCCGAAAGATACTCAGAAAAGGAACTAGTTCGTCAATTGACCAGCACAAAATTGGATGCGACCAGTGTTGAAGAGGATCCCGATAAGACTAAAGGTGCCACCAAAGTCATTAAGAAATTCGTCAACAAACACAAGACAGCCGATTTAGTTAATGTCATTGGTAAAATAGATGCCGAAGAAAGTGCCAAAGCCTCAGAGACTGCAAAACCAAAGGCGGGTGGCGTAGAACCGGCCACCAAACCATTTGTGCGTAAATGCAGTTTACAGGACGAATCTCCACTCAACAAGTTCAACAATGAACGCCGCAAGTCACGCATTATGGAAACTGCAGAAAAATTCCAAGCCATGAATGCCGCCACAGGACAGGCATCGGACAAACCAAAGAAATTGGTTATACCCGGTGTCAGTGTGGGTAGTTATAAAAAAGAATATGAACGCAAAGCCTCCACCCCAGCTGCGGGTGCCGGACAACAACAGCTAACAGCCGGAGAACGTCGAGCCCTCGAAGAAGTTGCTGCTGCAGCGGCGGCAGCAGCAGCAGAGGCTGAACAAAACGAAGAACTGATGGAACCTAGCGAAGAAACATCAAATGTTGAAGCTAGTGATTCTAAGGCTTCCGTATCATCATTTTCTCTCGAGGATGCCCGCAAATCAATGGAAAATTCAATAGCCTTGATACGTCAAGCCCAGTCGGAGTCATCGAAAGAAGTCAATAATTTATGTGCCAAACCGGAGTATGAAATGCCCCAGGTTGCTGGCGGCGGTGAACGTGAGCAGAAACTAAAGAATGCTCGCACCATTATCGGAAATGCTATACAGCCAGGTAAGAAATTGCGATAATTATATAATTTCTTTTTAATTTCAAATTATATTATGTTTGGAAATCCCCTATCCAATTGTTAGTGTAGTGTAACCTCTCCTTCTACCTTTGCACCAAACATGATTTTATTTATTTTTTTTTTCATATTCCATGGCAAATTGTTGGATATGTACGAGAGGAGTATTAATTTGAAATTTTGTTATATCGTAATTCGTAAAATATTCTTCAAAAATTTAAATTAGTATATGTTCATAATATTATTAAGAATCCCCCAAAAAAAAAAAGACATGTTTGTCTTTCGTTTGTTATGATAAAATTATTTCAGTGGGTAAAGATATGTTGGAAAATTTTTAAAATTTCTATAGGAATATATTTTAAATGGGCCCTCTATCGTTGTGACAGTCTATCATTTGCAGCTTCGGTAGTCCCTTACAAAAAAAATCGTAATGCTACGATTTTCTAGGAGTTGTTGAAATGAGACTTTGTAATTCCAGATTACACGATACGATGTATAATAATGGCTTCGGGAGTATGTTATGTTTGGCGAGCATTTAAAAAAAAATGCAGTGTAGCATGCTGGACAGAAGTTTTCCACATTATTAAAATTTTAAATTATCACTTCACTTCACTTTATTTTTATGTTTTGAGGTGAATGTACCAGAATAGGGTGATATTTCGATTAGATCTATGGATAATGTTAACCTTTTGTCGGGCAGGTACCAAATGGCATGGACCGATAAGTTTTTTATATTCACATTAGATATAAAGTCGGCGAGGGTATTTCGTTGTGTGAAGATAGAAGAAACATTGAATGATTATTTTGTATTTTATAAAACTTGCAATTATTTTTACCCATTGTGGATAGGAGTGGGTCGAAAAAATCGTACTTTCACAACAGACCTCTGATTGAGAAAAACATTGAAATATACTTAGTTTAAGAGAATATATTAAAAATTTTGACCCTATATATTTGTCTACTTCCCCTAGATCTTGTGATTGTAGATTTTTTGGGTGTGCGAAGTTTAAAAATAACCGGATGCTTAATTTTGTGAGCATTATAATTATTCAAAATTTTGTTCCTTTGTGTGGGAGGTGACTGAAGGACAGGAGCGAAATTTCCCATTTCCGAACTCGATCCAAGTTTGATAATAATATTACGAATTTGATTTGGTCCAAAGAAACCTAAGGTCAAAACCCCTTATTTCGATGAGACACGTTTGGTTATATATACTACCCGTTTGGTTATATACCCTACCCTAAGGGTATAATAGAAGACACTTATACTCGTATAGGGACAAAGCTCCCTTCTTTCCCACATTTTTGACATTTTCTGACTAAGATTCCTGGGAATCCTTGCATTTTAGGTATATAGTGTCTTTGGCAAGACTATTTTTAACCCTAATGTGGGTCACCAAAGCGTCTTTTTTTGTCTTTTAAAAAAATGGTTACCAGCTGCCTTTTATCGGAATCGAACAAATCAAAATGTTCTACAAAATAATTCGTGATTAATTTCTGTTATAGTAAGTTGTTTAGGGTGCTTTATATAGCCTTAATTATACACAATATTTCGACAAATTATATGTGATAAATACCCTTGGATTGCTTCTGGAATAATTGCTTTAAGGATCATATCGGTCCATTTTTTGTATATCCCAATGTATTCCGTACAAAATTGTAATTTTTTTAATTCAATTTTTTCATTCAAAATTTATCATTTTAAGTCCACGTTTTGGCATAGCCCTCATTTAATGACGGTATAACTCATTTCGAGCGCCTTGGCTCAATTTTCCAATCGATTTGGCTTTTACTTGTTATTTGACTTTCTCAGGGCATTGAACATCTTTTCGCAATTAATTTCCAGTGTAGGTGCCTGTGTCGGAGTGGCGCCCATATAAATGTAGATACCTCCAGATTTCGAAGCCGTCATTACAAAATTGGTATAGAAAGCCTTTTGGAGTTTTACTCTTCTGACCTAATACTAATATCTTCACATACAAGACCTCATATTAGATCGGTTCGGAAAGTGGATACCAACACCTTTACATAGAATGTGTCATATCCCAACCTATATCTGATGGGATAGTGGACTTGAGAGGTATTAATTCTGTGGGAAGGTTTTCCAGTCTCGGAAGAAAATGCTAAATTTCGTGACAAATTTAACAAGGTAAAGTAATTTTTTGCAAATAGGACACCACGAATTAGATTCGGAATGTATTCCTGCGTACCTCCCTGGTAAACGGTACCGTTATATTAGAGCTACATAATTTGATAATTTTTCGTAACGAGATTTTTTCACTCCTAAAAACACTATGTTGTGCTATCAAATATTTAGTCAATTGATTTTGTAGATAAAATTCTGAAAATACATAAATCTTCGTGGTACGTATACTGGGTGTCTTGGATACCGGGGGTTGGGGCTATTTAGAAAAAAGCCTGTTTGTATTGTCGAACCCGAAGGCAACATTCCATTCCTTAGGGATATCTGTTGTCTGTATACATTGCATCAGAATATCGCCCCTATAAAGTATTAGTCTGCTCCAGAACTTCAAGAATGTAAACATTTTCACAACGACAGCCGATTGTCCCTTTATGATATCGAAAAGAATGCAAAACTTGTAGATTTTTGTAGGTACTGAAATAGAGCATATATTTGTATGTTGAAATCAAAAACAAGTTAGAATGTATTGTTCCGTTTGCAGACAGTCTTATTTTGGCAGACATATTGGAATATCAGAAGTTTGGAAGAAATCGTATTACATTTTTTTAAAATATTATTTTCTTCTTTTGTGGGAAAGGTACCCATCGCAGTGTTCGGATATATTCTATATTTGCTCTAGGAATAATGCTGACAGAAATATTTGAGTGTCCAAAGTATAGAGACAATAGGTGATCATTTCACATTTCTTAGCAATTATGTGTATTCAATATGTCGACCATTTTTGGAAAAAGTAGCAAAGGGGTATTGTCTTTATACGAATATTACTTTGTTTTCGAAAAAATTGCAGTTTTGTTACTAAATTTTCGCATCATTTTTGATGCCCTTGAATATTGTGCTATTTTCGGTAATTCGGAATTTCTTTTGGTAAGTGAAGTACTATTGTAGCATTGCTCTATGGCACGGTCTGTTCTTGTCAATGAGTATAATCCGATTGACAACACACCATCAAAATCTTGTTATCATTATATGGCTACGGAGGGTATATATCATTTTTGATTACCTTCGAGTGCCTGAATCAGAGATCAGTAGATTTGAACCGATACATTTTCCGTCATCAAGAATATCAATATCCAAAAGTTCTCACCCTTTCTGGGGATTCTTAAGGATTCTTAATTTTAAATTAATTTCGTATTCAACATTTGCCATGGAATATTTCTACATATCGAAAAAAAAGAAAAAATTGTTTTGACTAAGTATTTTAGGCGCCCCATTTAGTAAATCCAAATAAGCCATTCATACATATTTCTATTTTCTAATTGTACATCCATACCACCATACCCTATGCATCATTATTGTGTATATATATCATCCTAACCATACTATATATATGAACGTGTATTGCTGCGGTATTATGTTTATTTGTTTTTTTTTTTTCTTATCCTTGTTTCTTGCTATTGTTGTTTCAATGAGATAGTTATGGTCCTAACGTTCTACGTTTTAGCTGACAGGCAAGAATATAATTCCTTATAATCCGCTGTAGTACCCTAATTATTATATAGATATATACAAATAGAGTGGTGTATAAGATATGTATTTACTTTTCCCCCCGTTTCACAAATACCATATGCACACACATACACATTAAATCTCTATGAAAGAATAAAAACCGAAAAACAGAACATTTCTGTGTTTTTGTTACTATTTGTATTTGTGTTTGTGTTGTGTGTGTGTGTATTAACATCTTGTAGCAAATAATATCATCATCTCATCATCTTCTTCTTGGTATCATCATCTGTATATTTTAGTTTTACGTCACAGGCCACAGTCAACACAGCCATTAGCATGTTCTTCATCGTATTTCGGCAACGGCGGCGGGGGCTATGATCAAATGCGTGCCAACAGTGGAAGTTATATAGGATTTGGTGGTAATAGTATCAATGCCGGCAAATCGTTGACTGGAAACGAACCGATGATGACCAGAGGTAACAAGATTGGTTACAATGATACAATTGCAACACCCATACCAACACCCCAATCCATGACAATGCGTAGTCGGCCGGCTGTAGTACAGCACAGTACAACACTGCCAGCAAATGCAAACGCTGCCGCCCTCGCCGCTGCACGGCAAACATTAATGGGGCGTTTGGCTGCTGGCGGTATTGGCAGTTTCCCACCAACGACCACACCAATGGGCGGCAATGATCAACACTATAATCACCCGCAGCACCATAACCATCATCATCATCATCAGCAACAACAAACGAAATCACTGCACAGCATGCATGCACCATCATTCTATGCATCGGCCGTTAATTCGCCATCGTCATCATTGCACACACCGCCAACATCAATACCACCACCACAACCACCACTATCCTCCTCCTATACACAACACCCACTGTTGGCCACGTCATTTGGTCCAAATGCAGCCACCGCCACCAACGCCATCAGTCCAAATGCCAAAGCCACCAAAGTCTCCAACCAACAACAGCAACAACAACAACAGACCACAAACAATAAAACCAACACCACCTCCTCCACAATCACCTCGAATTCCTCGAATGTCATAAATACAAACAGTACGCCAAAACCGTTTTACAATGCATCTTCTTCGCAGCCATTGTGGAAAAGTAAGTTTTAGACGTCCTTTCTCTCACACACACACGCACACACACTGTCTCTCTTTCGTTAGCTAGTTGTTAGCTCGTTCGTTCGATCGTTCGTTGGCTTTCGTAATGAAAGGTTTTTTTTGAAAATAACACCCAGACCAGGCTATGTTACTTTTTATTTTTTTTTATTTTTATTAATTTCTTTGCTGCTGTTGTTGTTGTTCTTATTAAACCCCGACTCTTATCTCATTGTAGAAATACCAACAATTTCAATGAACCCCAATTTTAGATATCCTCTATGAAATCTAAATTTTAATTCAATTCTATATTTCTGTTGGAGAAAGGATCTTAAATTTTGAATACGTCATGGTTTTAACGTTTCTATATCTTTGGCATTCCAATGACAGCCTTTTCGATATGTTTTAAAAACAACTCCCATTCCCAGAAAAAAACAAAAGAGAAATGAAAATGTTTGTATTTGTACAATGGTATTACGTTTGCGCATTGCGTTTGTTGCACCTTTATTTTAGAAGCGTATTTTGCACAATTTCCAGCTATATGCATTTTATTCCAATGCCGGATGCTAATAAAAAAACCTTAAATGTTTAAATTATGCGAGTTAATGCAGGGCTGTTGTTAGGTATAGTAAATTTAAATACATACCTCGACTCCGGCAAAAGCTTTTCACCGACTATTTCTCCAAAATCCATATTCTATTCAATGAAGATCTCTGTTGTTTTACATAAATATAAATACCTCCACTATATTAATTTAGGCATATGTATATATCTTTGATAAGCATGAGGTTCAAGTCCGTCTGTTGCGATCCTTGTCACATAATTTTATGTAGATTTTTTAAATTAGAAAAATTATATGAGCTAAGGTAAAGGCCCCATATAAAGTTTCGACACAAGTGCTAGATCATCAAATATGTTCCTCTCGACTTTAAAGGTGTCAAAAGCATTTAACACGTAAATTTGACGAATCTGGTTTTCAGCGGATACAGAATCTTCTATCCAACCGACGATCGACGTTAATTTGACATTTTATGTTATTGTTGAACTGGAATTCGAAGTGCAAACCTTTTTTAAAATCGACTTTTGGTGTAAAACGAGTAAAAAAGCTGCAAGTTCGGCTCAGCCGAACCCTTCACCATTTGGAACGAATTTGGCTATTCTCAAAAACAATAAAATCCGTTAAAAATTCTGTTAAAATCTTAAAAATACCCAATGTAGCTGTTATATTAGGGTCTATACGACGCCATGGATCTGCATAGGTAACTTTTGTCATAAGCCATAACAATATTCAAATGCGAAACTTAAAAAAAATCGGTGAATAATGTAGCTAAAATCATTAAAATACCGAATATCGGGAGATATCGTTATATGGGGGCAGTACGAAGACGTGGAGCTGCACAGACAATTTTCTGTCTTAGGCTTTAGTATCCATTACGAACTTCATATACCAAATTTGAAACAATTTCGGGGAATAATGTCGCTAAAATCATCAAACTACCGAATATGGGAAGGTATCGTTGTATGGGGGCTATACTAAGACGTGGACCTGCACAGACAATTTTCCGTCTTAGGCTGTAGTAACGATTCCAAATTTCAAATATAAAATTCGAAATAATTCCTGTGAATAATGTGGCAAAAATGCTGGAAATACCGAATATCTCGAGGTAGCGTTATATGAGTGATATACTAGGAGGTAAAGTACTCACAGAGAACTCCATGTGTAGAATTTCAGACAATGTCATTGAAAAATGTGAAGAACTCCTTGTGTAGAATTTCAGACAATTCCAGTGAAAAATGTGCCTAAAGAGGGGTACCGTTATATGGCAGCCATTCGATATTGTAGACCGATATAGGTCATCTTCGAAATTAACCTGCCCGCACACAAAGGACTGATCTGTGCAAAATTTTAGCTTCCCATCTTTGTTCGTTTTGACTCTAGCGTGATTACAATAGACGGACTGACGGACAGGGCCAAATCATCTTAGAATTTAACGCCGATCAAGAATATATATACTTTGTTATGTCTAAAATTATTATTTCGATGAGTTACAAGCGGAATGACGAACTTAAAATACCCTCCATACCATGTATGGTCGAGGGTAGAATGAAAAGTATAAGGTGATTTTGCCGACAAATGCATATCTTAAATATATGTCCGTTATTTAAATAGGGTTTGACTTGCGTTATGATTATTCGAAATGTTAACCTTTTATGGGTGAGGTACCAGAAGGAGTGGGTGTAGTCAGATATAAATTTTGTACTTCTCTGGAGGTAGGTGCCAGTAGTGGAATTCTCTTACCCTTTTTTTTGAGTTATCGACAAAAGTCGGTAAGATTGAAATGCTTATAATTTCGGTAATTAACAAAATTTGTCGGTAATTTAGCGACGAAATCAAAGTAGTCGCTAGGACCTACCGATAGATACCAATGTTGTCAACCTTAACTTTTTTATTATATCAAAATTTTGGGGTCTTAAAGTTACCGAATTTTGTAGGTAACTCAAAAAATGAGTTAGAAAATCGCACTACATAAAGAGTAAACCGATGACGATGCGATAATGAACGAATACTCTCCTCGCCTTTATTGGATTTAACTTTTGTCTCTTGTGGGGGGAGGGGGAGGTGTGAAGAGACAAAGTGCATTGATTTCTTCCATTTCTCCCATCTGACTTTCGCTTGAAACAGATATTATCATGGATACAGTTTTGATTGAGTCGTAGAATCCTTTCCCATTTTTTCCCCATATTTCCACTTGATTGATGTCTCATACATCCAAATCGGATGCTCTCTTCGCGTTTTATGATACGTATATAAGTTGTCCCATCTTCACTCTATATCAAATGCTGGCAAAACATTCATTGAATTTATAATTATTCAAAATTTCGATATTTTGTTGGTGATGTATTAGATAAACTTAGCCGATATGGTCACATCTAGTTTATGCCTTATAGAAACATTTCATTCGTTTATTACGAGTATATAATTTTTTAATGGTTCAACCGTGGGAGTTTCCAGAAGAATACGATCATAACATAAGGTAAAAAAGCCCATCCTTCGAATCAGTTCCATTTTAAGCTAAAACGTTGAAATCGGTTGGAGAGTGCAGTTAAGGGTATATCTATACAATTTGCGGAACTGTCATGGGTGCTATTCCGAAGCATGAACCTACATAGACAATTTCTGCTAAAGGGGTTGTCAATTCAATGGAAATACATTCCAAAAGAAAATGGTGAGCCCACTAGTTAAAATTTTATTTTTCGATGTAAAAAGAAACAGAAACATAAAAAAGTAAGAAAAACAGCTTAGTTCGGCCGGGCCGAACTTTTAATACCCTCCACCATTTGGAAGGTATTTGAAAAACTAATAACTAATAAAATCATGAAAATACCGAATATCGTGAGGTACTATTATATGGGACCTATACGAAAACGTGGGCCGACATTGCCCATTTCCGAACTTAACCTGTCTACTAGTAAGCTAAGCATGTAGGCAAAATGTTTGCCTTCTATCTCAATTCGTTCGAAAGATAGCGTGATTAAAACAGACAGACGGACATCGCTCGATCGTCTTAGAATTTTACGCTGATCCAGAGTATATATACTTTGTAGGGTCTATTATAAATATTTTAAGGAGTTACAAACGGAATGACAAATTTAATATACTCTCCATAGAATGATGGAGGGTTGGTTTAAGTGGAAATGGCGAAAATGACTTAAAACAGTTCAGGTTTCTCTCGTCACATAAAACATGCTGTCAAAACTACCAATTTCCATGGAAATTTGTATATGAGTTGTTCAAGTAATTATTTTTAGAGAATTTCTCACAGAGGTATTCTGAACTTTCCATCTCTACTCCTTAAGCTTTGTATAATAATTCCACAGTGTCTTACAAGCAATAGTTAGTTTTAGCAAGCCCTTTTCCCTCAGTTGGAATGAAAGCAAGTTTAAGGGAAAGATTCAACATTTTTTGTACCTTACTTTTTCAACAGCTGCATAGGGAACTTGGTCATTAATTTTGCATAATTTAATTTTCTTGATCTCTTGTTTCGTCAATTTTCGGCATGTTATATTATCAAGTGTCTTTCCATGAACATTTCAGTGTAGGCTATATTATCATGATTTGTATTTATAGCTTATGGTATATCTGAATCAGTTTTCTTCATCAACGAAACACCAAAACAATCGAAGAAAATAAAAGGGAATACATTCTACTAACCCCAAGCTTGCCAACAAATATTATAAGTGAATGCACATAAGAAAAAAATACTTCAATGGCCCTTTAACGGTGGACCCACTGCTTATATTTCGGCATATTTCTCTTAAGGCTATGCAGTATAGTTAATGCTTGATTTATTTAAATTATTTTTTCTTTAATCTATTATTACTGAATATCATGCATTTTATCATACATCATTTTCAGATCATTTTCCCTTTATTTTTCCAATTTTCCCAGATTTTAAATAAGCTTTAAAAAAAATAATGCTTTTAATGTTAATTGCCAATTAAAGGACTGAATAAAAAATTGTAAAACTAATATATTTTATTTTTACCGTTCTCCCTCATTTTAGCAGCATCGGCGTCACAAGGTATTAGTGACAACGTATCCAATGCTCCAGCCCCAGCCGGTACAATGAAAACATCAACGGCCTCCATTACCTTGAAATCCGCAACCCTGCCCAGACGTAAGGTCGGAGCTAGATCAGAAATTCAATTGGACATTAAGCCACCACCACCCATTGTCGAGCAATCAAATATGCGTTTCACCACCGAAATGCAACATCCCATTGCCGATTTGCGCAGTGCTCCACCACGTGAGGGTCCAGTTCCTTATAGTCCCATTAAAAATATGGCAAGTGGACGTGCCTCTAGCCTAGAACCCAAAGAACACATTATCCATATACAAAAGCCACCATCAACCTATATGAGGACCACCTCAAATACCACAACAAGGTGAGGGAGAGAAAACTTTCGAAAATCAAAAATTTTACTAATAACTGTGTGTGTGTTTTTTTATTGTCAGATCTGGCTCCCTGTCACGCCAATCTACCAATGACTCAGAGTCCGATACCACATCCACCGCTAATATGTCACAATCCACAATTACCGGTTCTTCGCAACCCATCAAAAAGAGTCCCCGTGAATTCATTATACCCATTGCCGTTGAGGGTGGCGGTTTTATAACACCACGTGAAGGTAGCATAGAACCATCAGATTCAAGTCACACCGCAGCCACTAGCACATCAAGTCGTTCGACATTTACACGTCTTAAACCAACACGTCGTATTGGGTATGTTAACATTTCGACTCTATATATGTGTATTTATAATCAATACATTCCGTTGTATTTTGCCCTTTTCAGATCACTACTTAGCGAGACTGGTGTTGATGACAGTTCGCCATTCCAAAAATTGCGCACCTCATCAACGAATCGCGATAACGATGATGATACACGCTTTACGCTGCACAAATTAAGGTGAGTATTATCTCATTTCAATTAGTCTTAGGCATAGGGGCTGGGTTTAAGGCGACTATAGGGATCCCCATCGAAAGGGACTGTAAATGAAGCAATTTTCTAAGACAGTCAGGTATTTATTTTTGTCCGCTCTCTGTAGCGTAACTTTGCCCTGTCCACCTATTGTTTAATCACTTTTTCCTTTTTTTTTTTTTGGCAGAATCGATTTCGAGTGCCTTGACTTCCTCTTCTTTCTTGCAGAAGTCGTTCGTCGTCTTCCCTTGTGTGGAGTGTGGTGCCTCCGGCTCTGGCACATCAGAGGCCTTTTTTGAAGGCTTCTTTGTTACAGTTTCTTCGTTTTTACCTTTCCAGGCAAGCTGGGTCTTCCCGCAATATTTGCCTCTTTTAAGACCTCGACTGGTATCACCACTGTTCTGTATATAAGGATCCTTAAAGTTGCGTTAGGATACGTCCTCTCGAACTTTCTGACGAACTTCAGGTTCGTTCTAATAAGCTACAGCTTATTATCAGTGAGCTTAGATGGATCACCATCGACATATTAACTACAGTAGTTAACTGTTCGCCGATATGCTTTTTTATCCTTTATCTCCTTGGATTTGGCGCTCTTAGTGTCGGGAAAGCTGAGTGGCACTTCAAATTTAACAATCCTCCTACCTCCATATCCTGCTGCCTTGATGAGAGTGTGGACTTGTCGATATTTACCGACGAGTTAATATTGGGCCCGCAAGTACTGTTCAGGTCGACTTTCTTGGGAGTCAATACCAGACTAGAGGAAGAGGTCTGGACTACCTTGGATTTCCTTTCCAGACAAGCTGGGTCTTCCTGCATTATTCGCCTCTTTTGAGACCTTGACTGGTATCACCACTGTTCTGCATGTGGGGATCCTGTTTATTAGGAGTTTCCTTAAAGTTGCGTTAGGATACGTCCTCTCGAACCTTCTAACGAACTTGAAGTTCGTTCTGATAAGCTACAGTTCATTATCAGTGAACTTAGATGGATCACCATCGACATATCGACTACTGTAGTTAACTTCTCGTCGATATGCCTATTTATCTTTCATCTCCTTGGATTTGGCGCTCTTGGTTTCGGGAGAGCTCAGCGGCACTTCAATTTTATCAATGGAGACGTCCTCTCTGTCCTCCTACCTGTATACCCTGCTGCCTTAAGAGTGTGAACTTGTCGATATTTACCGACGAGTTGATATTGGACCCGCTAGTACTATTCGAGTCGATTTTCTTGGGAGTCAAACCCTGACTAGAGGAAGAGGCCTGGACTACCGTAATATTCATATCCTCGTCAGACAGGGGCCTTTCTCAGAAGTCTGCAGGGATACTGTTCTGACTCGCCCTTTACGGTCCAATATCGGCAATGATCTGGCGGACTCCCTGCTGTCGTCTTTTAATGTTCTCATCACCAAGGTCAAGGGTCAGATCAACGAAGCTCGGTTATAATACAGTTAGCAAACCAGTAGCACTGATGGGTTCGTGGTCGCTTAACATTCCAGCGCAAGGGGACCCTCGTAGTGTGGGTGGTACCAGCACAGCGGTTTGACTGTTTTAGGAACGCCGAAACATCGTCTCGCCAGTGTAATGACATTGGCACTCGGGTATTTAAGTATTTCTGCAATTTGTGTCGAATCAGTTAAACTACTGGGTTTCCACTATCCGCAAACTGTGGACCAGATATGCACCTCGATGGTGGAGCGAGTGTAAAGGTCATTGAAACCGCCGTTTGAAGTTTTTTAACCTCCATCATAGTATGGAGGGTATATTAAGTTTGTCATTCCGTTTGTAACACCTCGAAATATAAATTTTAGACCCCACAAAGTATATATATTCTTGATCCGCATAAAATTCTATATCGACTTAGCGGTATCCGTCCGTCTATCCGTTTGAGGAAATCACTCTAGCTTCCGAACCAAAATGAAGAAGGTTGACAATGTTTTACTCTAATGTGTATTATGTCTGCAGGACTCTTGGTATTGAAAATGGGTGATGTAGGTACACGTTTTGGTATAGCCCCCATATTATGGTACCTCTCGATCTTCGGTGTTTTGGCGATTTTAACGACATTATTCACCGGAATTGTTTCAAATTTGGTGTTTGAAGTTCGTAATGGATACTACAGCCTATGACATAAAATTGTCTGTGCAGGTCCACGTCTTCGTGTAGCCCCAATATAACGGTACCTCCCTATTTTCGGAATTTTTAAGATTTTAGCTACATTATTCACCGAATTTTTTATTCAAATTTCGCATTTAAATATTGTAACGGTTTATGACGCGAGTTGTCTTTGCAGGTCCACGTCGTCGTATAGACCCTACTATAATATTTTAGTATTTTTAGCTTTCAACAGAATTTTTAAGGGATTTAATTTTTTTGAAAATTGCCAAAATCGTTCCAAATGGTGGAGGATATTCAAAGATCGGCCCGGGCGAACTTACAGCCTTTTTACTTGTTTTCAATAACGTCAAGGTTTTTTGGACTGTACTCTAGTTAACATAACTGGGGACTTGCCTTTACTCTGGGTCTGAACATTCTTTGGTTATGGCCCTTCACAACTTTCTTAGAACTTTCATCAAGGTGGTCATTTTTTAGCTACGCAGGTGGCTATTCCCCCTCGGTTCGGCAGTAGTCAGTTACTGCAACTGGCATTCTGAAATATTTTTTCTCCACTTGAGTTAAACGTTTGGTTCACCCTAGTTCCTTTGATTTTTTTACTATAATAGGTTGTTCCAGATATTTATCTGGAGCTTTTTTTTCTGCTTTAGCGGTTTAAGGTGTGGAGTTTCTGCCTCCAACCATTCAGTCATTATATTTGGTATTGTTCCAGTGATCGTCAAAAGAGATGTCTTGTAGATCCTCTAATACGACTTATGAAAGATAGGTTTTTTCTGGGAACTTCTACGACATAGGGGTGCCTTCTTTTTTATATAGTCGTAAATAAGCAATTACTTTTTTATCATATAAATAAACTCTTTGAACTTTCAATATTTTTTTTTTCTTTCAGGAGTTCTCGGCCAGTGAAGAAATTGAGTCAAGACAATGACTCGCAAAGTTCCGGCGAAGAGGACGATGATGATGGTTTTGAAATTTTAACAGCTGAAAATCTATTCTCCACACTTTTGCAGCGTGTAAGTTTGAAATGATTTTCATACACAGAAATAAAACCTTGACTAATCTCCCCAATTCCCCCACTCCACATTTCTTTTACAGGTGCGTGCCTTGACAAATCGCATGAACGTTAATAATGATCTTACCTCCGCTTTTCCAAGCTCAAGTCGTTTACTAAGCAATATGAGACAGACACAAAGTCCATTCTGGAATCAGGATCCATTTGGCAGGTGAGTGTGTGTTTAGCATATAACCATATGATATTCTATTATATTTATTTTCTATAACATTTTGTTAAGTACTATCATTGTTCATTGTTGTTGTTTTTGCTTTATATTTTGATTTGATTAAACCAAAAAAAAAAATATTTTTTTCACTAACTGCATTCACTTTAAAATGCTAATCGAATATTATCAATTTTCTTTTACATTTTATTTCCATGCTGCGCTTTTTAACCAAAAAACAAAAAATATAAAATTAAAATAATATGACCTTCAAATAATCAACAAAAAACCAATACCATTCGTGTGTGTGTCCAATTATGAAACAAACCCCAAAAAAAACTGACCATCATTTTTGCACACCAAAAATCAATCAAATCATCACCAACCAACCAACTCGAAAACATCATGTTTAACATGTTGTTGTTGTTTTTATTGTTACACTGTTGTCGTTGTTGTTGTTGTTATTATTAATATATTATTATGGCAAAAAACAAATTGGCTTTTAAACATTTTGACCAAAAACCAAAATAACTACGCTTGATATATATGTGGCTGTGTTTCTCTCGCTGTGCGTGTGTGTCTGATGCACTTACCACATGTTTGTCCTTTCACCATGGATAAAAAAAAAACCAATTGCCCCACCCCATTTTTTGTCCACCCACTACCCACTACCCTTCACCGATATGTAGAACTAAAGTTAGTTATACATACAGTGAAACAATCGAAAAGAAACAAGTGTAAGTAGACCAAGAAAAAATACAGAAACAATCAATAAAATGCTCTCAAATTTGTCTGTGTCCTACTCCTCCTTGCATGAAGTGTCCCAACAATTTTTGTTTTATGTAGTTTGTTCTTAGATAAGATAAAAATATGTAGTATATATTTCGTCCCCCCTTACTTTACCTGTGCACCTATATATTAATGACTAAAATCACTGTTTTTGAGACCCCCCCTTCCTTTTCTTTCTTTAGTTTCATAGTTGCAATTTTAATTTATATTTTATCAAAATTGAATATCAACCAAAAAACCCCCCATAATTGTAGGTCCAAATCTATGCAGCCCACCCCAATTCGGAATAGGAATTCAAATGATAGTTTCTTCTGTCGCTTGTGTAGATTTTTACTTTGCCTAAAACCAAACACTTGTTGCCTGTAAGTTTTACATCCAACCAACCAATCAACCATGTCGCATGTGATTTGTGGTCTGTGTTTTTGTTGCCTCCTTGTTCGTTGTTGGTTTTCCCATAAATCTTGGTGAGAAATAGCTGTTTGGAGAACAAAAGGAAAATTTTGAATATAAATTCTAATGGAATGTTATTCCCCGAATATTTTTATACCCTCCACCATAGTATGGTGGGTATATTAAGTTTGCCATTCTGTTTGTAACACCTCGAAATATTTAGACCCCACAAAGTATCAGCATAAAATTCTCTGTCGATTTAGCGATGTCCGTCCGTCTATGGAAATCACTCTAGCTTCCGAACGAAATGAAGTAGATTAAAAAAATTTTACTCAAATGTATATTATGTCTGCAGGACTTTTGATATGGAAAATTGGCCATGTAGGTCCACGTTTTGCTATAGCCCCCATATAACGGTGCCTCTCGATACTCGGCACTTTTTTGATTTTAGCGACATTATTCACCGGAATTTTTTCAAATTTGGTATTTGAAGTTCATAATAGATACTACAGCCTAAGACAGGAAATTATCTGTGCAGGTCAACGTCTTCATATAGCCCCCACATAACGGTACCTCCCAAAAATCGGTATTTAGATGATTTTAGCGACATTCTTCACCCGAAATTGTTTTAAATTTGGTATTTGATGTTCGTAATGGATACTACAGCCTATGACAGGAGATTGTCTTTGCAGGTCCACGTCTTCGTATAGCCCCCATATAACGGTACCTCCCGATATTCGGTTTTTTAATAATTTTAATGATTTTTTTAAGTTTCGCATTTGTATATTGTAATGGCTTATGACAAAAGTTACCTATGCAGGTCCATGTCGTCGTATAGACCCTAATATAACAGCTACATTCGGTATTTTTAAGATTTTAACAGCAATTTTAACGGATCTTACTGTTTTTGAGAATTGCCAAATTTGTTCCAAATGGTGAAGGGTATTCAAAGTTCGGCCCGGCAGAACTTCCAGCTTCTTTACTTGTTTAAATTTATTTGTATTCTGGTTCCAAACGACCCTCCCTCTGGGAGCACTGCGGTTACCCTTTTTATAACCTCTATCTCGATAATGAAACGCAAAATGAGCTTCTTGACCTCAGTGTATGTCCCTCTTTTTATGGTGGCTTATAATGAAGTTTTTGAAGTTTTCTCGGGTTCCACAAATTTAGGCGTAAAAGGTAAACCTGACTAAATCTTCCTTGTTTATGCCAGTTCAGCATTATAGTGGCACTTTCTGGCTGTTTAAAGAGGAAATAAATTGCTGTTATCCTCCAGGTGTGATTTTTCATGAAACACGATCATTTTGTTTGTTTACAAACTGTTGGACAACGAATGTTTTCTCATCGAAGAAAACCAAATTCGGCAGTTTACCACTTTCGGAAAAGCGAAGCTACTATTTAGTTCTTTTGAGTCTATTTTCTTTCTGTTGCGATGTAAGTTCTTGGACTTTTTGGAATTTACCCCGAGCTCATTTTGCAATATTTGCCGAATGGTCTATTGCGATATGTTCAACTTACGAGCCATTTTTCGGCCACTTCGACGCGGGTTTCAATCGAACTATTTTTCTGGAAAATTCTGACCAAAATGCTTTTGTACGCTTGTAAACAATATAATGAGCTGTCACTGGAATAATTTTAAAAGCTTTCGGACGAGTGGCTTAGAAATGACAGCAGTCTAAAGTCGGTTACAGTTTTTTCATCTCACCCTGTATATTAATTTAATTGGCCACCAGTGCGTATAGGTTTTGGCAACACTTATACGCAGCACTGTCTGAGTTAAATTCGGCTTTATTACATGCGACATGGATCAAATGGTTGTAAACTGACCAATTAAGGTCCAACATTTTGTCATTCGATATCGAGAAAAAAATTCGATTGAAATAAATGTGAATTTGACATTTTGAATTAACTTAACTGAAAAATTCGATCGGTTTATATATTCCAGATGTTCAAAAAATTTTACTCAATCTAAAGAATTAATTTCGATCGGATTAAGTTTGGTATCGAATATGAGAATTTGACCATTTATTGAAAGTAGAGTTTAGATAATATATATAAAAATTTCCAGCAACAATAATTCATGATTGTTTCTTTTTTTGTTTCGTTGTCCTCTCTCACCATTTGTTATTAACCCCCCCAAAAAACAATAAGGCAAATGCTTTTCTTTTTCAAATACTAATAATAATAATTATAACAATAGCATTTAAATTTATAAATAAATACGAAAAAAAAAAACATTCAAAAAACTAATTTCAACTTAAAATTGTTATATTTTTTCCTCAATTCCAAATCAACGTTTAGCCGACTAAACACCGCCGCCAATAGCATGGGTGTGCCATGGCGTCACAGTATGTCTCGGGATTTAGGCAGTGACATGGAATCCATGTTCTCACGTACCGGTGCCACACTGCCAAGAGGTGAATATCACAGATTAAAGAGTAGATTTTTAGATCATTGAAAAAAAAACAATAATAAATCTATCAATCAATTCTATTTAAATTAAATCTAAATCTGAAACTAAAAAAACTCCAAACAAAAACAATCAAACACACACAAGCAATTATTGTTGTTATTTATACGTTTCTTATTATTTTTTACATTACATACATACAAACATATTATCTAAACACATGAAAGTGAACTACTACTACCTACATACATTTTTATTATTATTATTACGTTTATTAATTATTATTAATACTATTACAACAAATTACTCTTATAATTCATTATTCTCTATTCGATCACTACTACTACCACCACCATTTCAAATTTTAATTTTATTTCTGTTTTACTCAAAAAAAAAAGATGATGCTCTTCATTCAATATTTGTATTTCAATTCCATTTCATTTTGGTTTTCATTTTCTTTATGTTTCTTTATCATTTGTTTTCTTTTCTTCATTTTGTTTATGTCTTGTTATATATTAGTTCAAACCGGAATAGTGAAGGGGAAAAAACGTATAGATATTCCAAAAAAATATAACTTTATTGGATCGTGTCTCACACACAAGTTATTTTAGAAAAAAGGACATTTTGGAGGTGTGGAGAACATTTCTTATGCCTCACTAAAATCCTTTGTGTTTGAATTTCCTGTAGATTTCCTATATCCCAACAATGGACTCAGGGTACCAACTTACCGTGTTACAAATAAACACTTTTAGGTCGTCAAAATGTGAGGCTCGTCTATGGAGACAAGTTGGAACACCAATTCGTTTATAAAGACTCTTCGTTGGTCCCCCAACTCGTCTATAAAGACTCGTCGTTGATCCAACAGCTCGTCTATAAAGACTCGTTGTTGGCCCACCTACTCGTCTTTTAAGACTCGCCGTTGGTCCAGCAACTCGTCTATAAAGACTCGTCGTTAGTCCAACAGCCCGTCTATAAAGACTCGTCGTTGGTCCAGCAGCTCGTCTATAGAGACTCGTCGTTGGTCCAACAGTCCTTGGTCCACCAACTCGTCTATAAAGACTACTTGGTCCACCAACTCGTCTATAAAGACTACTTGGTTCAACAACTCGTCTAAAAAGACTCCTTGGTTCAACAACTCGTCTAAAAAGACTCCTTGGTTCAACAACTCGTCTAAAAAGACTCCTTGGTTCACCAACTCGTCTATAAAGGCTCCTTGGTTCACCAACTCGTCTATAAAGACTATTTGGTCCACTAACCTGTCTATAAAGACTCCCTGGACCACCAACCTGTCTATAAAGACTCCTTGGTCCACCAACTCGTCTATAAAGACTCCTTGGTCCACCAACTCGTCTATAAAGACTCCTTGGTCCGCCAACTCGTCTATAAAGACTCCTTGGTCCGCCAACTCGTCTATAAAGACTCCTTGGTTCCTAATTGGTCTATAAAGACTAATTAACCCCGATTTTGCCCGTATGGCAATTCTTTCGGTAAGGTGTGTTTTGATTTTTAACACTACGAAGTCCAATGGGATGTTAATACCGATTCTACTTTGCATAACCTCACATGTCTCATTATAGAAAACATAAATCTTCATAAAATGTGTGCCATATTATTTGTACTTTCTCAGCCCTAACTTCTTCCCCTTCGCTCTTACGGTTTGAACCCATACATTGTCGCGCGTGAAAACCAACAAACCAAACAAAGCTTCATTTAAAACTTAACCTATTTTTTTCTGGAATATCCTTTTTTTCTTACATTTTTATTTGATTTATTTTATTTTTTTCATTAGCTAATCTTAAAAAAGAAAAGATGAACAATTTTAAATGATGAATGAAAAAAAGAAATCTTTTTTTACCAAGCAAATCTCTTCCCAAATAAAAACAACCAACCAACAACAAAAAAGCAATCCTAGCGCAAAGCAAAAAAAGTAAACACACACACACACACAAACCTCGTATTCAAAGTTGTGGAACTTATTTTATTAATTCAAAAAAAAAAAAAAAAATAATACATTAAAAAAGAAAATAAATAAATCTGTGTATTATGGATATTAGTAACACAAAAACAACAAAACTAGAAGAAAATGCTTTTTTATTAGGAAACAATTTTATCAAGTGTTTTTTTAAATATTTATAAAACGTTAAAAAAAGAATTTAGAACAAAAAGTTTTTTTAAACCCATCGTGTGTTGTATTATGTAGACGATAATAGGTCAACATCAAAGAAGAAAAAAAAAGATAAATTGTTAAATAAAATTTTATATCACCACTGTTTACAAAAACAAAAGGAAAAGTTTTTCTTTAAAATTAAACAAAGAAACCTCCGATTTTTGTTCTAGCGAAAAATAGAGACATATATTTTATTGCATACAAGGTGTCACGAAATTGCTGGAAATTTGGCAAGGTTTGCAAAAGAAGTTTTTAAAATATACAAATCATGTGATTTTAAAATTTTCCAAAAATTATTTTTATATTTATATGATTTTAAAATAATAGCAATTAAAACATAAAGGTCGGTCTAAAATTGAAAAAAAAAGAACTAGTTAAAAAGTAATATTCGTTTTATCCACCAGATGTATACCTTCAGCCAGTGTTTTATTATTTAAACATATTTTGTCTTGTGTTATGATTATTCAAATTGTTGACCCTCTATGGAGTAGGTTCCCAAGGAATGACCCAAATATTGTCCATTTCGTATCGGTCCTGAATAAATATGATATAAATACGGGGTAAGACAAAAAAAAACTACAACAAAGTCAAACGCCATAATTTATGAATTTATACATTTTTTTCAATTTTATTGAATGAAAGCAAAAAATTTCGGAAATAGCATCAAATTTTAGAATATGTTTAGATTTGTTCGAATTGGTCGCCTTTGGCATGAATTATGGCCTTCAAAAAGACAATAAAACCGTTACACCCTGCCCGAATGTTGTTCTGCGGTATTTTGGCCCATTACCGGCGAAGCGCTTGCTTGAGGAGATCTACACTTTGATATTTTATAGTGCCAACCTTGCTTTCTAAAATACTCCAGACACAATAGTCCAACGGATTGGTATCCGAAGATTTTCGTGGCCATTGTGCGCTGGAAATGAAGCGAGGAATCTCAGTTTGTAACCATTCTTGGGTGGCGCGTGCTGAGTGCGATGGTGGTGAGTTCTGTTGGAATGTCCAAGGTCTGCGGCCAAAATGTTTGCGTGCCTATTGCTTTAATCCACCCTCCAGAATATTTTCGCTCGGTATTTATTCTGATGCCACGGTCGATTAATTCGAGCGGAGAGCGACCATCGGCTGTTATGGCGGCCCACACCATCACCATGGCCGGCGCTTGAGTTCAGGTGGCCAACCGAAGGTGTACATTTTCTGCTGACCTCTTTGGCAAGTAAACACGATCATTTTGTTTGTTTACAAACGGCTGGATAACGTATGTTTTCCCATCGGAGAAAACCAAATTCGGCAGTTCACCACTTTCGGCCAAGCGAAGCAACTCTTTAGCTCTTTTGAGTCTATTCTCTTTTATTATCTGTTGCGGTGTAAGTTCTTGCACTTTTTCGAATTTCAATGGCTGTAGCCCGAACTCATTTTTCAATATTTGCCGAATGGAATATTGCGAAATGTTCAGTTCACAAGCCATTTTTCAGCCAATGCGACGCGGGTTTCGATCAAGTCGCTTCTTTACTTTTCAAACCATTTTTGCTGATGTTGCTGTTTTATTCCGTCCACTTCCTTTACGTCGGGCTACGCTATCAGTATCACGGTAACGAGCGATGATTCGAGACACAAAAGACTTATTCCCATTTAAATGCTGGAGTGCTCTAACCATAGCCACCTGTGGTTTTCCAGCCAAATATAAAGAAATCACACTATCACGCTTGAATTCCGTCACGAATAACTTTTTTTTCTGGAAAATTCTCACCAAAATGCTTTTGTACGCTTGTAAACAATATAATGAGCAGTTGGTGGAATAATTTTAACAGCTGTCGGACGAGTGGCTTAGGAATGACAGCAGTCTGAAGGTGGCTGCAGTTTTTTCATCTCACCCTGTATATACTTTGTGGGGTCTAAAATGTACATTTCGTGGTGTAACACGAAGTTATACTCCATATAACTCAAACATGATGTGTAAACCTGTCTTAACATTTAGCACGTCTGTATAGCTAAGTTCTGAACCACTCTCAATGTAGCTATAAACTTAATTGTCTATATTGTCTTCGAAGAGATCCTTAAGATCCTAGATTTAGGTGCGGATCCGCACATTCATTTTTTTTTTCTTTTTTGTATGCCGACCAGATTTTTTGTGACACCCTGTATATAATTAAATCAGACATACCCACAAAACAATAATTTACCAGAAAAAAAGTAATAATCTTAAAAAGAAAGCAAAAATAGAAACTCAAACTTGATTTCTATATTTCCACCCCCCGTCGAACATTTTCTACTCTTCAGACACAACAAATGTAAAAGTGTATGCAGAATCAACTTTATTTTTTTTTTAATTTAGCTACCTACAAACCTATAAATAAAAAAATGGTTTTGTTCGTTTTTCATTTTCAAAAAAAAAAATAAAAAAATACAAAACAAGAATAATAAAATATAATATGTAAGGACATATAACAATAATAATTTTTAAATATATTTACATTTAAAAGAAAATTACAAACAAAAAAAAAGATAATAAAGTATGAAATTGTGATTTTTTGCAAATCAAACAAAAAAACTATTTGAAACTGTTTTATTTTGCTCATGTTTTGTAATCAAGCAGCCAAGCCCCCTCACTATCTATCTCTCTCTATCTCGAAAAAAAAATACCACACACACAACTGTAAATATATTTTTTTAAAATCAAATCAACAACAAAAAATCATTATTAACTAAATTTTAAATTTTCATCATCAACATTTTTTTAATCACGCGGTTTTTCTCTATTCTATCACCATTTTGTTTAAGTTTTTTTTTTCTTTCGCAAAAATTACGGCCCGCCTGTCTTTTATATGAAAATAAATATCTAT